TCATCATCAAGACAGTGTGGTACCAGCACAAAAACAGACAAATAGATCAATGGAACAGAATAGAGAGCCCAGAAATGGACCCTCAACTCTATGGTCAACTAATCTTTGACAAAGCATGAAAGAATGTCCAATGGAAAAAAGACAGTCTCTTCAACAAATGGTGTTGGCAAAATTGGACAGCCACATGTAGAAGAATGAAACTGGACCATTTCCTTACACCACAGACAAAAAGAGACTCCAAATGGGTGAAAGACCTAAATGTGTGACAGGAGTCCATCAAAATCCTAAAGGAGAACACAGGTAGCAACCTCTTCGACCTCAGCCACAGCAACTTCTTCCTAGAAACATCGCCAAAGGCAAGGGAAGCAAGGGCAAAAATGAACTGTTGGGATTCCAAGATAAAAAGCTTTTGCACAGCAAAAGAAACAGTCCGCAGAACCAAAAGACAACTGACAGAATGGGAGAAAATATTTGCAAATGACATATCAGATAAAGGGATAGGATCCAAAATCTATAAAGAACTTATCCAACTCAACACCCAAAGAACAAATAATCCAATCAAGAAATGGGCAGAAGACATGAACAGACATTTTTCCAAAGAAGACATCCAAATGGCCAACAGACACATGAAAAAGTGCTCAACATTGCTCGGCATCAGGGAAATCGAAATCAAAACCTCCATGAGATCCCACCTCACACCAGTCAGAATGGCTAAAATTAACAAGTCAGGAAACGACAGATGTTGGTGGGGATGTGGAGAAAGGGGAACCCTCCTACACTGTTGGTGGGAATGCAAGCTGGTGCAACCCCTCTGGGAAACAGTATGGAGGTTCCTCAAACAGTTGAAATTAGAGCTACCATTCGATCCAGCAATTGCACTACTGGGTATTTACCCCCAAGATACAAATGTAGGGATCCAAAGGGGTACGTGCACCCCGATGTTTATAGCAGCAATGTCCACAACAGCCAAACTGTGGAAATAGCCAAGATGTCCATCGACAGATGAATGGATAAAGAAAATGTGGTATATATAGATACAATGGAATATTATGCAGCCATCAAAAGGAATGAGATCTTGCCATTTGCAACGACCTGGATGGAACTGGAGGGTATTATGCTGAGTGAAATAAGTCAATCAGAGAAAGACATGTATCATATGACCTCACTGATATGAGGAATTCTTAATCTCAGGAAACAAACTGAGGGTTGCTGGAGTGGTAGTGGGGTGGGAGGGATGGGGTGGCGGGGTGACAGACATTGGGGAGGGTGTGTGCTATGGTGAGCGCTGTGAATTGTGTAAGACTGCTGAATCACAGATCTGTACCTCTGAAACAAATAATGCAATATATGTTAAGGAAGAAAAAAAAGATAGCAGGAGGGGAAGAATGAAGGGGAGTAAATCGGAAGGGGAGACGAACCATGAGAGACGATGGACTCTGAAAAACAAACTGAGGGTTCTAGAGGGGAGGGTGGGGGGGGATGGGTTAGCCTGGTGATGGGTATTAAAGAGGGCACATTCTGCATGGAGCACTGGGTGTTATGCACAAACAATGAATCATGGAACACTACATCAAAAACTAATGATGTAATGGTGTTTAACATAACAATAAAAAATTTAGAGAAAAAAAGGAACTAGACCAGGTCAACATGAGTATAGATGTACAATAAAGACATACAGGCCCTGAGCCATGTAAGAAATCATGGAGAAGGTGAGGAATCAGCCAAAGAGACAGGAGCAGCCTTAAATAAGGAAGTAGTAAAACAAGAATATGGTGCTTTGGATGCAGAGTGAAATACACATTTCACTGACAGACTTTTAAGAATTGTCAAATGCTACTGACAGGTCAAGTAAGATAGAGACTAAGAACTGACATTAGATTTAGCAAATATGATAGCAAACATGATAACAGGTCAAGTAAGAAAGATAGAGACTAAGAACTGACATTGGATTTAGCAAATTTTAACATTGGAAACAAACAGTTTCAGTGGAGTGGTAAAGAGAAAACACTAATTTGAGTGAATTTCTGAATGAGAAAGTAAGAGTTTGAGACCATCAGCACAGACAAACTGGGGATTTTGCTGTAAAGGATTCAAGCCACATTTCAGCATAAAGGTATATAATATCAGAAAAAATGTAGGTGCTTAATTATTTCATGATCAACAAAACCTTAATATAAAGCAGAAAAATCAAAGGAGAATGTAGACTAAACTAAACAGGTAAGAAAATGAAATGAAATGGAAGGTGAATGCAATGTATCAGGGTGATTTTAGTTGAATTTATTTTATTTAATGAACACTGTGTGTCAGACACTATTCAAGGATTTATAAATACAATTCACTTAATACTCACTTTTTCCAATCCTCAAAATTCATGATTGTCCTTTTCCAACCTTTAAATGTACTGACATGAGCCCACAATATTACCCTCTGTTTATACCATCTTAAATGATATTATTTGATGTGTTAAGTGATGTTACTCAGACCTATGATTTCAAATTATCTATTTACTAACAGCCTTAAATTATGTATCTCCAACCTAAAGGAGCTAGAAAAAGAACAACAAATGAAGCCTAAAGCCAGAAGGAAATAATAGAGCAGAAATAAATGATATAGAAAAAACAAACAAAAAAACCCCCACAAAAACAAAAAAAAATAGCACACATCAGTGAAACCAGGAAATGGTTCTTTAAAAAAAAAGTTGATAAACCTCTAGCTAGACTTATCAAAAAGAAGAAAGGACCCAAATAAATAAAACCACAAGTGAGAGAAGAGACATAACAACCAACATGACAGAAATACAAAAAAATTTTAAGAGATTATGAAAAACTGTATGCCAATAAACTGGACAACCTGGAAGAAATGGATAAATTCCTAGAAACATATAAACTACCAAAACTGAAATGGGAAGAAACAGAAAACTTGAACAGACCTATAACCAGAAAGAAATTGAATCAATAATCAAAAATCTCCCAATAAATACAAGTCCAAGGCCAGATGGCTTCAAGGGAGATCCCTCCCAAACATTTAAAGAGTTAATAACCTATTCTTCTCAAACTATTCCAAAAAATAAAAAAGGAAAAAGTCCAAATTCATTTTATGAGGCCAGCATTACCCTGAAACCAAAACCAGATAAATAAATGACAAAAAAAAAAGTATAGGCCAATATCCTTGATGAACATGGATGTAAAAATTCTCAATAAAATACTAGCAAACAGAATCCAACAGTACATTCAAAGAATCATTCTCTGTGATAAAGTGGGATTTATTCCTGGTTTGCAAGGGTGGTTCAATATTCACAAATCAATCAATGTGATACACCACATTAATAAAAGAAAGGATAAAAGCCCTCAATAAAGTAGGTTTAGAGAGAACATACCTCAACATAATAAAGGCCATTTACAAAAACCCCACAGCTAATATCCTCCTCAATGGGGAAAACCTGAGCTTCTCCTCTATGGTCAGGAACAAGACAGGGATGTCCACTCTCACCACAGTTATTTAACATAGTACTGGAAGTCCTAGCCACAGCAATCAGACAACAAAATGAAATAAAAGGCATCCAAATTGTCAAGGAAGAAGTCAAACCTTCACTATTTGCAGATAACTTAATACTCTATATAGAAAACCCCAAAGACTCCACCAGAAAACTGCTAGAACTGATATACAAATTCAGTAAAGTCACAGAATACAAAAACAACATACAGAAATGTGCTACACTTCTATACACCAATAATGAAGGAATAGAAAGAGAAATTAAGGAATCAACCCCATTTATAACTGCACTGAAAACCATAAGATACCTGCAAATAAACCTAATGAAAGAGGTAATTACGTATCTCCAAGCCCCAACATCAGTATTTTATAGTGTGGTGAGAATATGAAGCTTCAATTTTTAATACTTTAGCTTGTTGTATTTTTAAATTTCCTACAATGCACAAGTACTGCTTCTTTAATAAAATGTTTTAAAAATTTTCAAAGGAGGCAAAGATTCATGAAATTGTATTTCCCTTGATAGATAAATTAAAACAACTGCTAGATCTAGAAACAAGGAAGTCACTGGTGTCCTTGACAAGATCCATTTTGCTGGAGGAGGGTAAGAAACACCTATGTATAGTTTGGCAGTTCCACAAAACGTTAAACAGAGTTAGGATATGACCCAACAATTACACTTCTAAGTATACACTCACAGGTCCACATAAAAATTTATACCCAAACATTCATAGCAACATTATATCCTAGAAGTGTAAACAACCCAAATGTCCATAACAAATGAATGGAAAACAAAGTATGGTATATTCATACAATGGAATATTATTCAGCAATTTAAAAAAAGAAGTACTATTACATGCTACAGCACCAATAAGCCTTGAAAACATTAAACTAAGCGAAAGAAGCCAATCACATAAGAAAACATACTGAATAATTCCTACTATGCTTATGAATTTTTTTTAAAAGATTTTATTCATTTGACAGAGAGAGACATAGCAAGAGAGGGGACACAAGCAGGGGCAGTGGGAGAGGAGGGAGCCCAATGCAGGGCTCGATCCCAGGACCCTGGGATCATGACCTGAGCCAAAGGCAGACGCTTAACGACTTAACGACTGAGCCACCCAGGCGCCCTGCTTATGAATTTCCACAAGTCCCTAGAGACATAAACTATATTAATGGTTGCCTAGGGCTGGGGGGTGGAGGGTCTGGGGAGCAACTGCTAATGGGTATGAGGTTCTTTGGGAAGTGATGAAAATGTACTAAAATTAGGTCATGTTAATGGTTGCACAATTCTGTGAATAAAAACCACTGAATTGTACACTTTTAAAGGGTAAATTCATGGTAAGTGAATTATCTCAATAAAACTGTTATTACTAGAAAAAAATAAAAGGCACGAGAATTTAGTTGATCAGTCTGCATTTGCTCTATACTCCCTTCTCAATATGTATAGGTTTTATGTGACCTTACTTCTGGAGATTTGTCTTTTTCTTTCTTTTTTTCTTTTTTTTTGGTAAACTTTTCCTTCTTCCCATTAATCCCTATCCCCACACAACTCCCAAACTTTCTGAATCAAACATAATTAGACAGAAAAATGTTTGCCTCCATTAAGAAAAGGTATATTTTACAATTTTAAAAAGTATTAAATGTGGCCATTGTTCAGATTTACTTTTCACACAGTTACATATGTACATATTTCAAAAAAGGAGGAGTACGAGAAGAAAAAAAGGAGGAGGAGGAGGATCAAGAAGAAAAAGTATTTACCTAGGAATAATAACATACCACTTTAAGCAACCAATACATTATATAGCCTGGATTCTAAAACCCATTTGGGATTATATAAAACTACTTTGTAAAAGCCACAAGTGTCCCTCACTCTGAGAAATGTTTGAATTTTTAAATAATACTGCTAGAATACATTTTTTTCATGAAATAACAAAAATTTACAACAATGGTATCATGGATACAGACTGAGTACATTTATAAGCCCATCGGCAAGGCTAAATTTAGAGCTGACTTCCTCCCTTGCATTGTATAATTTCAGTAGTATACAATAATTATCTACTGTTGGAATAACACCTGAGCAGTTCAGCTAAAGATGCAAACAATAAAAAAAAAAAAAACCCTTACACAAATACTCAAACTTTGGGAATTCTAATTAAAATAATAGAAAAATAGAAAATTTTTCCTTCCAAAAAAAGGTATCTAGACAAAGATTTAGATACCCCATGTAGATTATTCACAAGTCACGTGTGAAATCAACCTTTTTTGCAGTCCTTAAACAAAATTTAATCATTAACTGATGGAAAAACAAGTTTCATATTCAGACACTTTCAGAATGCATCTATAATTAACTTAATGCAAAAGTATATAAAAAAACAGCTATTTCACTGCAGTCTTTAAGTATAGCAACATTTTATTATTTTTGGTGCATCTTCTTACGCATTTCTTCAAGAGCTGCTTCTTTCTCTCTCAGCACCTGCTTAAGTCTTCTTATTTTTTCATCTCGAATGGTTTCTTCTAACTCTGGTGGTGTCATGGGGAAAATATCTTCAGTATAATTTTTATTAAAAGAATGACTTTGTTCAAAAGCTGCATTTGAACTCAATGTGCCTTTTTCCTGGTTCTCAGGAGTATAGTGTTCAACCTCAGTTCTCTTTTCTTCTCTGGTTTTGTTGCGGCTTGTGAGAATGTTATGGCATGATACATCTGAAGTTGGTAAAATACTGTTGACGAGTTGGGAATTGTTGACATTAGTTCCTCCATTTATAGCTGTGTTATAAACACTCTCAGTTTTTCTCTTCTTTGTGTGATCCATCTTCTTAACGGTTTTTGCTTTTCTTTTCTTATCAAAACCCTGTTGTTATGTTGAGTAAGATTCCAAAAGAAAAATAAATTATTGCCACATAGACAGTGTGCTCTCAAATTTAACAGGATCCTGCAGGTAACAGATACTTACTAAATTCAACTCAACAAAATATACTGAGAACTACAGCAAAAAATTGTTTAGCACTGTACAGTACGAAAATGAATAGCAATGTCCTAATGATATTCACAGAGAAGAAATTGCTTAATTCACATTTTCTTGCTTAAGTATTAGATGTACTGATCTATCACCAAAACATAACAGCCATTTGTAAAGAACTTGAGAAAAATAACTGACTTAATTTTGTGCTTCCTTTCCCACAGTAAGCACATATGGAAGATTTTCATTGGGAAAGGTTCACTGGTGTCTGATCTAAAGTTCAGGATACTAAGCAGTATAATGATATATTTTTAAGTAGAATACCAATAGGCAAAGTTGTAGGGATTTTTCATCATTATCGACCAAGTAGAGTTCTTAAAATGTTTGTATTAAGGTAATACTGCAATGAACATCTACATGCTTATATTTTCCCTACATCTGGATTATTTAATTTTATTAATTTTTTTAAGTTCAATTAGCCAACATATACTACATCATTAGTTTTTGGTGTAGTGTTCAATTATTCATTAGTTGTGTTTAACACCCAGTGCTCATCAGATCATGCTGGATTATTTTAGATAGGGTCTTCAAAGTAGGATAAGTAGCTTAAAAAGTTATGGGCATTGTCTTATAATTTTTTGATAAAAAAATAAACAGGTGAATAGAAACAATACAACAACTTTAACTGGGGATGTATTTTTACCTTTGTATATATGGTTCTCTTTAACACTGATTTGGTATAATATATACAAATATGCAAATTTGATAACAACTATCATTCATATTAACGTACAGACTAAAAAAACAAATCAAGAAAATGCATTCATGAACCTTTGGAGTAACTACAAAGGACACCAAAAATCTATTACCTGTTTTTTCTTTTCTTCCTTCACTATCAACTCAGTCTCTTTGTAAGTATTACTCTTCACCAAACTGCTAAAGGAATCAAAACCTTCTCCAGAGCCCAAATGATCAGGAATCCGAGTAAGACACACTCTCAAATCTTTAGTGAGACCAAATATCTTTTTAAATTCTGCATCACTCTTCAGATATGATGCCTTATTGCTTCCTCCTTTGGAATGGTTCTTATCATTTCTTTCTTGAGTAACTTTTTCTAATGTTGATGCCATCTCATTCTGGATCTGGAATTAGGAAAACAAAACACACAAACAATACTGCTAATTACTTAAGCTATTTTATCAGACTAGCAACTAAGTGTTCATTTCATCTTACTTAAAACATCATGCTCTAAAGTCCTAAATGGTTGGTTTGCATTACCCTTGCCTTACCACCCACACTTGAAAAAATGAATTTAACTGAGTACAAACTTAAAACTGTTCCTTTAAAATTTCTCATTTATTTTGCTTTCTTGCACTGGAAAGGTTAACAGATAGTTGATTCTCAAACTGAAATAAGAATACAGACTAATGACAAGTTAAAAATAATCTATAAAACATTAGTTGGAAATTATAGTCTTCTGGAAAAGTCTTATGCCTTTAATCAATCTTATACTTCAGGATTTACCACCTTAAATATCTAGAATTCAATGAATTCTGTACTGAAGGGGAGAAACACTGACATTATTAAGTAGATCTCTACATAAGGAAAGAGTGGGCACAAATACTTAGCACAGACACACATATCTTAAGTAGAACAGAAAGGTAACTATGTGGATATGCTGAAGAACTGAAGAGTCAGAAAGGGTTTTAAAAAAAAGGGCAACTTGTCTACTAAAAAAAAAAAGATGTTGATAAATCCTATTTCCACAAACGACTGAAAGGTACTGATCAGCCCCATTCTACCCCTTCTACCATCTACCTAAAAAAAATTGCCAGTATTTCCCTACCATCACAAAACAAACAAAAAACCCAGCTCTCCTAGATGCATATTGATCTTTCCATATACTAACATTAATCTAGTAAATATATGTATGTACATATGTATATATATGTGTATACATGTATATATATACACACACAGAATTTTACCAAACTGTGAATTCACATCATCTTTCACCAACTCTTCTAAACCTTGTTGCTGAGTTTTTTGTTTGATTTTGTTTTAAAGATTTGGCATGCCAAATGATTTAAGAAAACACTCTATTATCCTCCTCAAACATTTCCTTCAGATGAAAGCTTTGACTTAATTAAGCATTCATGTGTGTATGGTATTTGTGTGATGGAGTGGAGGATGGGAAAGGAGCGGGGAAAAGGTATCATAGGTAACTAACTTTGAGAATTAAGAAAGAAAAATTTTCTATATAGATAGATAAAAAGAACACCCTGACATGGGAAAATTACCTTTGGTTCTTGGTCTCTGAAAACACACTGTTGTGAAGTAAAAGTTGTTGCATCAACAGAGGAACTTATTTTCTCTATGCTCTGGATGATATTTCCTTTTCTGGGGGCATTTTGTACTGCACTAAGTCCATCTGGAAAGTCTGGCTTTGTGAATGGAGTCTTACTCTGTTTTAAGTAGTTAATGGATTGATTCATATTATGTGGGTTTGGGGTAGAAAGAGATGGTTTCTCCACTTTTTTATTCTTCTCTGCCCTTAGATTGATCATGGAAGCAGGCTGAGTATTTGAAAGTGATTTTGTCTCCATCTGGTAAGATTTACTTTTAGCCAAAACAATATTTACAACCTCTCTGGATATTTCTGTGACTGGACTTGAACTCACTATTTGTGATGTATCTTTTCTTGGTGGAATATCAGGAGAAACAGAATTCTGTTGGTCAATTTGTGATGGCAAAACATCTGTCCCCTTTTTAGCCAATAGATAGACTTTCCCATTAAACATAACCAAGGCATTATCTTTAATAGGCATACTTTTGGATTGTGTCCCACTAGGACTGACAGTACTCAATGATGGCATATTTATAGTATTATCTCCCAAACTTTTCCTATCTACAAAAGTTTTTAAAATCTTTGAAGCCACATTATTTGAAGACTTAACAGGAACAAGAGATGGAGTGCAAGGCTGTAGATTTTCTTGAAAAATCCATTTCACAGGAGCAGCTTGAGAATGCTGACCACCTTTTAATTGTGTCTCTTTAGCAACATTCATTGGAATTTGTGTGGTATTTAGTATCACTGGCTTTGCTATTTCTGTAACAGGTTTTGGGTAAATGTTTTGAAAGTTCTTGGTAACTACATTTTTCACTGTATTTACAGGAGATACGTAAATAACGGTTGGTATTTGGGAAGCCTCAACTGTTCCTGAGGTACTTGTGGTTGCAGTTGCAAGTATCTTTTGCTGAACTGAAGGAGGCAATGAAGACGCTGGTACAGATTTCACTTCAGCATGGGCAGGAATCTGTAAGTGATGCCCAGAAGGCAAAACTGGAGACTTCACAGTCATTGGAAGACTCTGAGTATTTACTAAAATATAAGGTGAATCATTTTGTGTTGAGGAGGGAGAAACAGCAAATGTTTGCATGGTGAGTCCATCAATTTTCACACCATGACTCTGAACTTTAGAAACTGATGAGGTAAAATGTTCAGTTCCCACAGAAGTAACTCTAACTTTTTCTGCTGTATCTACTGTTCTTGTAAGAAAATAGTTTGAAGAACTGGCTGGCTGAAAAATGGGCAATTGAACTGATGCACTTGTGGAAGAGCTGGAAATCTGAGTCTGAAAAGTAACTTGAACTGGGCTTCCTGTATTCCCTTTCAAAGCATCAGACATGACTGAAGATTGAACTAGCGGTATAAGATTTCCAGAAGAATTAGGAATTGGAAGTAATTGCAGAAGATTTTTTCCATCCGAGCCAATCGTCTGAACTACTTGGTACATGCAGCCTGAAACACTTAAAAGAACATTGAGTAAATCAATACAACATACTAGACGGTATATACATTTTATTTAAAAACAAATATTTGCAAATATTATGTTAAAAAGATAAAAATTTATAAAATATGGTAAAAGTATATAATTTGTCACTTCGAGTTTTCAAAGTGAAATATTGCAAAACAAAGACTTGAAGAGATAATCAAAGGTATGATCAGCTTTGATTTAGAATTTCTCATATGATTAGGCAACGGGTAAATTAGACTTTTCTAAGGTTTTACCCTGTATAAAGTTATGCCTATTAGAATATTTTCCTCTTAAACTATTAGCATCCTCCCTTCTTTTTTTTACTTGAATTCTTTCCTGCTGTCCTCCTTCTTCACTCTGATTTGCCCAGGATTCTCATTTCACCTCCATTTATGCTTATTCTATTTCCCTCACTCTTTTCTACCCTCTTTCCAATCTGCTGTGCTCTTCCCACTGACAATGACTCGCAAGTCCTACTGTCAGCCATCCTTCTTTTGTTTAAGGCATCTCTTATGGTGATACCTTAGTGTGCCACATTTTCAGAGACTAAATGGAGTTACTCATGTAGGAACCATTTCCTTCCTTGACTTATTGTTTCAGTACATCTGAAGTTTGGTGCTAAAGAGCCCTTGGTATGGGAATTATTCACATTAGTTCCAACTGCCTGTCACTCCATATACATAACAGCAACGTCACTTCAGCTAAATGGTTTCCAATGAATGTGGAACACACGGGACATTTTTTTTTAACCTAGCCAATTTTGATCCTGATACTTATCAGCTATATCTTAGTACAGACTGTCTGATTTTTAAAAATCCAAAATATACCAATCTCTGTTATGTAAGCAATTATTTGTAGATTTCTTCAATGCAGATACCTCAAGTTATTTATGCCTAAAACCACCTTTCAGTTCCTGGAAAATACCAAGTTCTCATGGAACTCAGAGTAATCACACATGCTCTCTCTACCTAGATACTCCTCTCCTCTCCCATCCATATAACTCAAGTCTCAGCATAAGTAATACTAACCAAGAGATACATTCTCTGACCATTTTAACTATCTTTGCCCATCTTTCATAATTAGTGTATAATATTACACCTGTTCATTTTCTTCATGGTACACATCACAAGTTGTCAATATTATTAATCTATTTGTTCACTTGCTTATAGACTGTCTCTCATGCTAAATTCTAGCAACATAAATGCAGAGTTCATGTCCTACCAACAGTATGACCTTATATGATTAAGATCAAATGAAAACAAAAATTCAAGACAAATAATAATAATAATGATTAGAATTTTCAATGATGCAAAGGTGTATTTTACTGCCCACAGGTGTTTTTAAACCTACATATTAATAAAAATCAAAGCCAAAAATTCTATGCATTCTAGGAAGCCCTGGAACTCAGTTTTTCTTTTCTGCAACCCAAAATAATATAATTATATCCTTTTAAATACTTAAAACCATTTTCTGGCCACTTGATTGTGCTTCAAAATGTTAAATTTACTTTTAGCAAATTAAAAGTTAATCCCTAAAGAGATGCAGGAACATAAACGTATGAATTCTTGCTTTCAGGACTTAAAAGAAAACCTACCTTAATTACCTCCCCACCCCCCAAAAAACATAGAAAAGACCTGAACTTATTCAACTTTTATTTATTCAACAAAAATTTACTTGAGTGTCTGTTACGGTTCAGGCACCAGGCTCAATTATGGGAAAAGGATCAGTAAATTACAGCAGTTGGCCAAATTCTGCTCCCTCCCTGTTTTTGTGTAGGCCACAAGCTAAGAATGTTTTTCCTATTTTAAATGGTTTTTAAAAGTCACAAGGATAGTATTTTGTTATCTGTGAAAATTATGAGATTCAAATATCAGCATCCATAAATAAAGTTTTATTAGTACATAGTCACACTCATCTTTAATGTACTATATATGGCTGCTCTCATGCTACAATGGCAGAGTTGAGTAGTTACACCAGAAATGATCCTATGACCCACACAGCCTGAAATATTTACTATCTGGCCCTTTACAGAAAATATTTGCTTTTCTCCAAGCTAGTTCAACCCACAATCCCCAAAAGAACTTAAACTGTTGGTTATATGGACATATAAACAGGCAATTATCACTAAGTGAGATAAATGATACACTATATTTGGATGAGATACTCAAAAGGATACTCAAGCTCAAAAATGCCTGCTCTTTTTCTTAAAACATTCTCTTCCCAAGGCTTCCTAGATAGGATATTCTCCTACTTCCGTAATGATTCCTTGGTCTTCCTTGTCAACTCATCCTACCTGAATCAACCTTCAAATGTTGGTATTCACCAAAGCTTAGACTGAATTCTCTTCCTACTCTTAAGCTTTTCCCAATTATTTCTTTTATGTGCATAATTTCAATTAAATTACCATTTATACAGCAACAATTAAAAGATTTGCATCTTAGCTCTTTTGAGATTCAGGCTTATATATATATCCAACTTAACTCATGACATTTCCATTCAGAAACTCAAATGCACTTAAAACTCAACATGGCCTTTTCCAGTTTTTTTTTTCTTTCTGTATGATAAATAGCATATCATCCATCTTAGATGCCTAAATCAGAACAAGCAATTTCCTGCTTTCTAATCATCTACATTTAAGCTATTACAAAATCCTGTTGGTATTAACTCCTAAATTTCCCGATTTTATCTTTTCAATTCTTTCCAAACCATCTCTCTCCATTTTAATTCAAGGAAACAGTATCTCTGCCTTGGACTATTATAGTAGCTTCATAACTGGTCTCTTCTTCAGCCACATCCTCTCCCTTTAAAAGCTTTCATTACATTAAAACTGACCCCTCCCTACTTAAAATATTTCAGCAGCTTCCCATTTTCTTTGAGCAACAGAAAGAAATCCAAGAGATTTTGATGCAATAGAAGCCAAAGGAAGAGAATTTCAAGAAAATGGGCAAGTCTATTTTAAAAGTTTCTGACAGGCCAAGTCGGATGTAGATTAAAATGTAAACCTGCATGAGGGTCACTGATGGCTTTAAAAAAAACAGTTTGGTGGAGAAAAAAAGTTGCAGAGGAATTGACATGAAGAAAGGATATTAAGATAGAAGGTATGGCCGACTCTTATGAACTTTGACTGCAAAAGGGAAGATAAAGACTGGCAAGTAGATGGAGGCTAAATGGGGTCAAGAAGGGATCTGTCTTTTCTTAAGGTTAGATAAACCAGAGCATATATTAATGCTCATATGAGTTATCAAGAGGAAGAGGATAAAGAGGGCTAATTAAGTGTAAGATTTGATAAGGAGATATACGGAATGGGAACCAGCAGACAGGTAAAGGAATTGAACCTTAAAGAGAGGCGGAGAAGTATCTTCTTCCATTGGCACTGAAAGAACAGGTTAGCCACATTTGCAGTTAAGTTTATAGTTTTGATGTCAGAAGTTTGAGGTAATTCTGATCTAATGGCTTTAATTTTCCTGTGAAAAGGACATAACATCATCTGCTAAGAATAGGAGCAAAAATGGAGATTTGAGGAGAATCAAAAAGATTTGAAACAGTCTGAGAGAGAATAAGTTGACTTCAGAAAATATTAGAGTCATCAGACAACGCTGATGGCCCAACGATATAGGTAGTTATTATGAATTTATAGTGAGACCAATCTGTGCTTTTGTGAGATTTTCCTTGTTTCACTGGGTATAAGCAAAGTAAAAGTAAATCCCCGAGTTTATCCACGGTTGGAGTGGCTTCAAAAGAATGGTGCAAAAAAAAATCAAAGAGGAACAAAAGAGTTTAGGATATTGGTAAAAATTATTAAAATGATGAAATATAAAATCTAAACAGGAGGAGAAGAAAATGAGAACAAAAAAGGCAAAAGTATAAGCAGAAAATAAAGTGATTATTGGACTGGAGGGCCAGATAAAGTTAAAAAATAGTCAAAGTGGGGTTTTTAAACAAGTAAGCTAGAAATACCACAATTGGTGTTTAGAAAAGAGAATGCCTGAATCAAGAATTTCATAAATGCAGCAATTGCATCTGACAACAAGAACTACAAAAGTGGATGGATAGTGACAGAATGGAGACTAAGATCACCGGAGAAAAAGAACTTTGTACTGATGAAAGACTAGATGACAAAGAGATTATCCATATAGATGCTAAAGTCACATAGGATTAGAGAGATGATTATGACTTATGTTCCAAATTCAGTGACAGGAAGTTGGTAGATGATGTTCATGAACCACAATTAAGACCACCTACCAACTTCCGGTCACTGATATGCCAAAAAGTTGTCTAGAAATTCACTCTCTTTTGCAGTCTATTTTCTTTCCCATTATTCTACTATATCTCATTCTCAAAGGTTACCAAATATGTTCTCACAGTTAAATCTGTCTTTATCCTCATTGTCTAGGTGCTCCCTCCTGAAACTGATATTGCTAGCTAATTGCGCATTGTGAACCTCTACCTAACATGATTTCCACTGTGCACAATTCGCTTGTTTTTCTTAATGTTTCCCTTCTCATTCATTTTCTGCATTTTAAGTATCCAATTATGACTATTCCCCAAAGCACAACTCTTGACCCTGTTTCTCCTTCAAGACATTCTTCCTTAAAGACTGTACCAACTACTTCAACTATTGCATCAATTGCTTCAACTATTTCCTTAGCAATTAATGACTCCCACTGTTATATCCTTTATTCCTATTCCCTAACGTTGACCTCAGTTCCATATTTGTGTTGTCTTACCAAACATTTTCACTTTTAATACCATGACATTTTTTAAACCATGACTTTAAAGTTAAAGTTACTCTCTACTGAAAACTAGTACTCTAATCCTACTATCCAGTAATCCAGTCATGTCAGCACTACTATTTCCCAAGTCACTTAGGTTTTAAAATCACCTAGTCATCTCTGACTTACCTTTATCACCCTTCTTATTTACCTTTGATTCACCCAAAGCAACCTGTATAGATGCTTACAAAGGATAAACATTCAATAAATGCATAGTGAA